TGACAGAACCCTGCAAAGCAGCCCCACCGCGTCCTGGGGAGTGCCTGCTCCAGAGCCAGATCTCGCACCTGTCCACTCTCTGATCAAAGAATAAAGCTTTCCTCTGCTTCTGAACCAAATTTGGTCTCTTGGCTCGAACAGCACCGGGCAGGAGGACCCTCGTTGGGGACCAGCTCGAAGGGTCGGTGGTAACAGCTTCAGCAATGAGAGGTGGCAGAGGAAACAAACAGTGATGGGGCCAGCCACCTTCAGACCCTGTGACCGGTGAGATGAAGCACTGACAATGAATCGGAAAGGGAGGCGCTGCACTTTAGAGGGTTCCTCAGCCTCTCACCCCAATACTTCAAGTACTTTTGCAATTTTAATGTAAAAAGATGAAACTGTCTCCTGGAACCTATCATTCTCCTACCAGACAGTCACTGATTCATTCATTTACTCAGTAACATTTATTGAAGAGCTACTATATATAACACAGTGTTTTAATAGGAGTCTTTGCCTGCTGAGGCCCCCAAAGCTGAAAACTAAATGCACTAAATATGGCAACAAATAGTTGCCACATTCCAAGGGAGGTGCTAAACCCACTAGGCAGAATTTGCAAAGAAGGTGTATGCAGACCAGTTTTGTGATCCTTTGCCTCTCACTTTCAGGGATTGAAGTTGAAGTGGCCAGAGGTTGGAAATTGGAGACTTTCAGGAAAGGATTTTAAAGTGCTGTTGCATTTTTTGTCTCCTTGACACGAAGCCATATTCGAGGGGCTTCTGGGAGACCCCTGTGAGATCTCGGCCCTTGGAGTCTATGGAGCACAGAGACTGGTGTGTGACCCACGCCTGAAAGGCTGTGACTAGAACTGCCTGCAAGGGGTGGCTGCACCAGTAGCAAGTTTTTCATCTACTGCTGACAGTGTGGAATACATGTCTCATGTGGACCAGATGAAAGCCATGTAGGAGACAGCCTGTCTGATGCCAATTTAAAGGGACTTTGCACAAGGTAGCCATCTGGACTGGCAATGAGACCTTAATAGATAGTCTATGGAAATGACCTGGGGAGGAGCTAGGGTTTAGGGACTTGTAAAGTGGCCAGTCTGAGAGTGCTTGGTCTGTAGCAACAGGGGCTGCATGGAACGATCCCTAGTCATGGGGCGTCTCTCTGGAGCAGAGCCTAGGAAAGCACCTCACAAAGCATGGATCTTAAACACCCCCAAGGCCTGAGAGAACTAGCACCTGGTTGGTGCCAGTCAAGAAAGACTTTTCCTGCCCCCTTACTTCTTCTTGTCCTTGCCCTGACTCCAATTCTGGAAGGTCCAGAGACTGCAGCTGGTGAGTGAAAGGTTTGGAGGAGGAGCTGGCAGAGGAAGGGAGAAGCCAAGCGCACCATCTCTTCTCACTGCTGCTGTCAGCACAAAGCAGGAGCCGGCTGGGGGAGGGGAGAAGCTTCATCATTACAGGTAATTGCCAGTTTTACTATTACACGAGACAGAACATTTCAGCTATAAAAATGAGAAGTTGGGGGACTTCCCTGGCAGTCCAGTGGTTAGGACTCTCTGCTTCCACTGCAGGGGGCACGGGTTCCATCCCTGGCCAGGGAACTAAGATCCTACATGCTGCATGGCACGGCCAAAAAAAAAAAAAAAAGATGACAGAGGAAGACTTTTCATTATTTGAGAGTGAGCAGAAAAGCGGTGGGAATGGTCTGAAATTGCAACCAAGGGCAGGAGAAGGACAAGCCCCACCCACAGATGAGGCCTGCAGGGACATTACAAGAAAAAGTACAGTTGGTTCACATCTCTACATTACATGACCTGTACTTTCAACATTGTATAGCCCAAGGCACTGTTTCAGGTTTTAGGTTTAGGAGATGTGAGAATAAAAGGCAGTCTCTACCTTTAAAGAGTTCATCCTCGAGTGAGAAATAGGTAAACAGACAATAGCTAACTAACACTTATTCAGACCTTACTAGCAAATCCCAGACATTCTTCTAAGGATTTTATACATATTAATTAATTTAAAACTCACAACAACCCCATAGGGTGAACAATATTATGATGCAATTTTACTAATGCTGAGAAGTGGAGACACAGAGAGGTTAAGCAACTTGCCCAAGGCCATACAGTAAGTAGCAGAGCCCAACGGGAAGTCAGGTCATCTGACTCTGGGCTCAGCTGTCAAGCATGATACTATGCTGCTCCCCAGAACAGGAGGTGTTATGATGCCTTCAGTGGGGCATCAGCCTAGACTGAGCCAGGGAAGTCATCCTGGAGGAGGTGATTTTTTTTTTTTTTTTCAAAGAATGACATTAGAAAGATGATTAGGAATTTGAAAAGCAAAGCCCTAAGAGGGTTTCAAGAAGGGGGAAGAAGACGTGCCCCGAATGCATTAGAGAGTGGGGCTTCAACCCATTCACTGAGGTTTGGCTGGAGAGAAGCTTCCTGAGGGCTCAACCTTGGTTCACAGATTTTGTATGTACCTAACACAATGCTTTTCAAATAATAGGTTCTCCATAATTGCATATTTGAGCAGGGAATCCAAGAAAAAGTATGGAATGCATAGGTAGTTCTGAATCAATGATTATGTCAATAATGCCTTGCCCCCTCCCCTGCCCCAAAGGAATCTATTTGGTAAATCAAAACTACTAATTCAGAAAAAAAAAAAAAAAAACGGTCTGCTAGGAGGCACAGGGCCTAGTTTGCCTTGTCAGCAAATATCTCTGGAATATTTTGCTATTGTGGTTTCTTCGTCTTATACTTATTCCCCTACCGTTATGTGTTGAAAAATGCTTAGCAACTACCTTAGGAGAAGGAAGACCAGAAGCTTGAAGTCCACACACAACGCTCACGAAGTTTAAGAACATTTGTTAATAATTGATCAAATATAATTAGGCATTTGCGACCACTAATCTGTAACTAATGATTACAACTGATGTGTGTTTAGAGAGTCACGTTTACATAACTTCTTGGTGTGGGAGAGAGAAGAATCAAGAGGGGTGACCTGCAGAACTGCACTTTGTGCTATCCATCCTGTGATTCCTGTATGGGCTCTGGGAGGATCCAGCACTCTGAGATGGAATGGCTGCTGAGGCTTATAACTGGGTTTATAACTTAACTAAGAGGGAGAAATACTTCTTCGTCTGGGGGACGCACCTGCTTCTTAGGAAGCAGGTTCTTGCAAGCAATTCTCAGATGGTGGATAATAGCTTACAAAAGGTCATGATTCATAACAGTAGTAGCTATTGTTTATAGAGTGCTTACTGTGTGCTCTGTACTGTGCTAAGTATTTTACATGGATGATCTCATTTAATCCTCATCACTACTCTGAGATGGGAACTTATATTTCCACTTTGCTGAGGCTTAGAGAGGTTATGTTCATCCAAGATTAAGCAACTAGCACAGGGTCTGGATCCAGAGCTTTGTTCATAACCATTATGCTAAATGCTACTTATCCAGGGTCATTGCCTGCAGGGAACTGTAGCAGACCAGAACTTCCCGGAAAGCTTACATCGTATCCACTCATCAAGATACCTCACTCTGGAAACACAGAGGAAATTGGGGTTATCTGTCCTGCTGTCCCCCATAACAGATTCTTCTAAAGTCTGGTCATAAACCAAGACCCCCTCAGGGGGAGCCTCTAAAATCTGTGTGTGTGGGTTTCTTCGTTCTCCAATATCTGGGTTTTAGGGCAAAAGAAAGGGGCACCTCAATATTTCTACTACAATTATTCCTCCCCCACCTCCCTGAGGTCATTAAAGTATGTAGAAATGTCTGCTCTCAAGATGATCCAAAACTATGTTGCTACTCTAGTTTATGTTTAGCCAGTCTCTTTCCTTGGGCCCAATTCTGCCAGTCTGGACACTTCATGCTGCCACAAAGATCATCACCTCTCAGCCCCTGATTGCTCTTTTGCAGCAGTGTTCTTTAGTTAGAGTCGCAGTGGGACTGAAGGTAGTTAGGAACCTCAAACCTGACAAGACACTTAATTCCAAAAGCATCTCTTATTTGACACTTGTGACACATTTCCTCATAGAAACATTGTTATAGAGGCAGTTATATATTCCTTTGGTACTATGTGATCATGTATTTAGCCCATAGACTAGCAGCAAGCCTGAAGCTGACCCACCATTTACAATATTTTTGCTTCTCTGTAAAATTATGTACTGAATTCTCCTTTGGTCCCTAACACATTTTGAAAATAGAATAGTTTGTTAATTTGAGATTATGTTTTAAGATTTATATTTCATTTTTTATTGTCTAAGGTTTGCAAACTTTCTTCTTCACATCTTTGTTTCTTAAAGGTTCTTTTAATTCCTAAAAGAAGTTTCAAAACTTCATACTCAGTTGCCTTTAGGGCCACTTATGAGTAACGGAAGAAGAGTAGCTTTACTACATTTTAGTAAATCCTCACTTGACTTCAAAAGATGGAGATTTGCCAATTGTGAGTATATTAAAAAGAATGTGCCATTGGATCAAAAGCATTTCCAAAGGGGAATTTCTAAAACTCCTTTGTGTGGATAGCCCTGCTTTAAGAGGTGGATGGATTATTATTGTGATGACGACTATTTTGAAGGGTGACAATATTTCTTTGTACGTATAATTTCTGGTCTATTTCTTAAAAAAAATTCTGTCAAGTTTCCTTGTATTCTCACTTTCTTTAAGTTATTGAATTACAGGTCACTCCTGATTCAGATGACCTGTAAATTAATGACAAAATTCAAAGCCTATTTTTTTTCATGACCGATCTGATAGTTTTGAGCCTTATGTGATCACTGAGCTTGAATCAGACAGGCATGATAAAACTTAAGTGATAACATCAGCATTTATATTAATAAGTAAATAATAAAATCTGACACCTCTATAGTGTTTTATAACTTTCAAAGTTATTTTGTACATATTATTTCTGAGGGTAAACATAAAGTTGTCTATAATCACGAGGAAGTATTTCCAATTACAAATCAGTAACTTCTAGAAGAACCCAGAAGAGTAGGCATGGTTTCAGGTAGAAATGACTCACCAGGAAATGACTCCAAAGGTAAACGGGGATTCAGGAAGTGTCCAGTGCAAACCATGACAGCATCAAAGATAGCTCTGTCCAGCTTCCCCTCTGTCTCTGTGACAACATCCCACTGACCAGTTTCGGAGAAGTCAGGACGCTTTGTTACGCTGCACACTGTGGTCTGAAAGCAAAAGACAAAACACTCGCTTTCCATCAGTCATCTTGGGACCTCATACAATGACCGTATGGTAACCATGTCTCTTATTTCAAGTGGGCCAAGTCAGTCCCACGATAGGAGGTCTGTTAACATTGTCTTATCTTTTCTCTAGAGAAGTTAAATAGCTTGTGCAAAGTCTCAAAAGTGGTCATATAGATTAGGACCCAAAACATCTGAATGCCTTCACTGCAAGGAAGAAACATTCAGTTTTTATTCCTGGTGAGAAGGAGATGAATTAAAACACCGAATGTTGAAAAAATTTAGGGAAATGAGTTTTGACCCATTATAATATCTGTGGTTCAGACTTCTAGTCATTTCTTCCCAATGGGTTTCATGAACAAAATCCATTTTTCCTTTCCTCTCAAAAACATTCTAAATTTTATCCTGAATGAGAGTCTGGATTTAGAGGAAGAACCAGGAAATTCAGTATTTTAGTGACTTATTTGAGTAAAAACATGACCAGCAGGATTATTATCTGCCTTATTCATATAGAGAGAAAGTCAGGAAGAAGTTTACTTAAGTATCCCATTTCCATCACATTGGTGAATGGGCCAGGCCCTACTCATTAACCTTCCATAACCCAAGGTATCTTACTCTAAACCGAACGTATTTCAGAAGGTCAAAGTGCTCAGCAAACTCTTGGAGGTAGTCCCAGAATTTTTCTTGCTTCATGAAATTGGGATAATCTTCTTGGAAGGGGAAGTCGCTGTAACATGACATTTCTTTGCAGACGTTTGTCACTAATGACTTGTAGACCCTGGTCATCCCATCTTTAGAAGTCTCCTGTGGTGAAAGCACAGTTAGCTTGATGGGGTGGTGGGGGGATAGGAGGAAGAGAACAGAGACCATCAGCAGTTAGCGTTCCACTTGTAATTCCAAAGAGTTCCTGGAAAAGTTAGCGTTGGGTCCCCATGCTATAGTTATCAGAAATCATTGGTGGGGTTGGCATTGTTAAATACGATATCTTTCTCAAACTACAAAGAAGCTAACAACATTTAATAGGGCTCTCCAAGAATGACACTGCCCTTAAAATATTCCATGAACACGGGCCCACGGTCTATCTTGCTTATCTTCTCCTTCTTCCCTTGCCATGATTATTCCGTCCACTCATGCTCTGCACCTCTTCCTCTTGCCTTTGTTTAAGGAACTCCTCACTAATTTTTCTATTCATTGTCTATGGATATTTTCAACCGCTCTCTTTTTATTGGCTCCTTCCCATCCACACTTAAAATACTGAAGACTCAAATTTTCAAAACAAAACAAAACTCCCTTTCAACCTGTATCCCCCTTCCAGCCTTGTCTCTCTCTGTCTTATCTCAGTCGTCATGAAAGAATCATCACATACTGGCAGCCTGTGTTTTCTCCTGGACTCCTCAACTTGTTGTCTTGTCTCGATCTCTGTCACTCAAAAACAAAACAACAAAACAAAAAGATCTACAAAGGCACCAGTGAACTTCTCGTGGCCGAAGTTTTCTTCTTCAAGTCTCTTCCTTCACCATCATGTTCTCTAAGAAACCTTCCATGACCCAACAGATCTTCACAAGGTAGCTATTGTGCCCTGCCCCAGCACACTGTACTTTGAGCACAGAACCAATCACACTGCATTGTAGTGATCTGTTTTCTGTTTCTGTTCCCCACCAGACAGTAAGGAGGGCTGGGTCCTTGTCCATCTTGTTTCCCATAGGTCCTGGTAGAGGGACAACACGAGTACTTGTTGAATGAATGAAAATGAATACTACAATTGCGTTTTTGAAAAAAAAACAGTATTTGTATGACTGGAAAAAATTACATCAAAATTTTGTTAGTGCTGACTCATGAGAATTGATATTATATTTAATTTGTATTTTTCTTTTGTTTAACTCAGTACTGTTTTCTAAAATTAATCTATATCAGTTTACAATAGGAGAAGGAAACCAAACCAACCATGGGGTCAAACAGCAGACCTAATACTTTCTTCCACATTGACATTTGGTGGCTTGAAGAGGCCCATAGTACACCAGAAAAAAATTATTTTTCCCCAGTATGCTATAATCCTAGGGCTGTGATCATTTACATGCATTTGCTTATTCTGTTTTCTTCACCATCCATCAAAGACTGGCAAATGTTGCCTACTCCAAGAAGGCTTCCCTCATTCATACCAGTTTGAAGCACCCTCCCCAACCTTGAGCTCCCACTAAAGGCTGCTCTTCTCTCCCCAACCAAAGCATTTAGTACTTGGGCCTCCCATCTTCTGACACCTTATACCCTACCACTGGGGCAGGTCCCTTTATTCCCTCTGAAGACCCTGCTATTCCCAGTAACCAGGACCAATTTTGGCCAGAGGCAGGGGGTATTTTAGTCATTTCCAGCCCCACTTCCTGATGCTCAAGTCACCTAATAGCTGGCCTAGCCTTGAGCATATACCCCACTAGGCTGCATATTACACTCCTAAGAAGGGTGGATTAATGCCTGTGTTCTTCTTCTTCTGATAATGTGAAAAATACCCCCTAGACCTTTCAAGGTCTGGATTCTTGCCTCACCCTTGCCAATTCTCTTCCCAAAGACCTGAACAATGCCTGGGGGCTGGGGCTCCACTCCCTGATGCCAACTTCTGTCCTTCCTAAAGTGTCATCTGCTCCATATTCACCAATGCCATTCAGCTTACCCAATGTGACACGCTGCTACTTTGTCTTACAATGCCCCTGCTCCAGAAATCATCGTAACTTCCAATACTATGTTTGTGTATTAGGCTTAGCTCTTTCTTCCTCTCCTCCAGCTGTCTCTTGTCCCTACCCTGCCAGTTGTCCAAGTTCATCACCTATCAGACTGCATCCTGCCTGGGGTCAGCACAACACCATAACAAACTTGTGCTGCTGCAGTGAGCTGCTCCCGTAATGATCACCAAGGTAGGTAGGCTAAAGCGACCATATGCCTCGGCAGGGACAAAGCAAACGGCCAGATTATGATTGGTGGAAGTGGGAGGGTGTGAACTACGCACGGTAAACTTCCACAGTCCCCCGATGTCATTACTTCTTTCAAAGCAGGTAGGCGCCAGGTCTTCATCCAAGCAGCATTTGATGGAGGACAGGCCACTCACACCAGCTCCAATCACTGCAACTCGCTTGGCCATGGTGTGTTCTGTATGAGATAGGTTGAGCAGAGCGTCTTTATATGACAAAGCTAGAAGGGAACCCTTGTCATAGAAGTCAACTTTTACAGTGATCCTTTCATCTTTGAGCTGAGGCAGAATCACATTTTGTTTAACAATGAGGGCTCTGAAATCACACTGGTTTTGTTTGAATCCTCACTTCATTTATTTACAGTATGACCTTAGGCTAGTTGTTTATCCTCTGTGTGCCTCAGTTTTCTCATCAGCACAATGGGAGTGGAAATAATAATACCAATTTAAAATATTTGTTATGAAATTAAATGACTGAGATATGTTGGAAGGGTGATAGAAGTGTGTCTGCTACATAGTAAGTGCTCTATTAAATTTTGCTCTTATTATTAGCTAGTGTAGCCAGGACCTTGATCCCCTTAAGACTTTAGATCCTCTCAGTATTAAAAGGACTCTTTGCTAACACCTAGTCCCTCAGAAATGCTAGGAATTGCAACAAGCAAAAATGTTAGTTTTTATTCAAAGCGTCTAAAGTTCTAAAGAATAGCTAGTCATGGACCATGTCCTGCCAGCAAAAAAGATATTACATGCATTTAGGGGAGGTTCTTAACTTTGCACAGAGAAAGGTTGACTAACCAACCATAATACAGAACTGTGGTCATATGGTCATATGGAAATGGGGATGCCATGTTGTCAGGAAAGATTGGAGGAAGTGTGAATGTGTCATGGGGATTTATAACCAGTTTTTCTTGATTTTATGTTTTGGGCTTCTGCAAACATCAGCATAGCTTTTGCTTTGATCAGCTGGGCTAACCACCGAGTTTATTTCAGCAAATTAGGTTTATGTCACACGGAAGACTTTGAAGTGTCAGGTGTCCTCACTCTCAAGTGCTGCCTTTCCCTCAACCCTCGTGGCCAATGTGAGAAACACACAAAGAGTAGTTGAGACCTCAAGGTATCTGCGTTATAAAATATACTTAACTGATTTGACTTTGCCTATGAAGACCTGGTACTTTTTGAGGAGAGATCTTGCTGTATAACTCTTATGTGACTTTTGTAGTGTCATGACACTCACCATAGTGGTGTTTGCCTTGAGGAACCTAGGGAGAACATATTTATTGAGCCCTGAATACCAGTAAATGGGAAAACATATAGCATCATCACTGAACACGACTCAAGGCCACTCTGCTAATAAGAGGTTGAGTCTGGAGAGACTTCAGCTATCTGAGTATGAGCCTGGATGTGCACATCTCATTGGTCTGAGAGCCTGAAGTGTCCTGTGATTCCTGCTACTAAGCCTCCTCCCTCACCTGAGCTTAGGTTTGCTGCCACACCTTCTGGTTGGGCTTGGGGGATTTTGTCCTTTTGGTTTTGTAGTTTGCCTCCTAGCCAGATCAGAACCCCCAGGCACAAAACCAAGGTGAAGTTACTGACTTTACAGAGGGCAGAAGAAGACTGCCGAGTCCTTGGACCCTTCGGACTCACCTGGTTCCAGAGGAGGATCTAGGCAGGGGCTTGCAACAAGGATCAGAGGGATTTCTCAGGGCTGCCTGTTTCCAAATCTTACCTGCCACCCTACCCTTTGTAAGGTTGAGACCTTCACGCCTGGCTTCATTATTTATGGCAAAATTTACACTTTTCCCCCTGAGACTTTTTGTTTATTTAGGAGTCTCTTTTGATTTGGAAGAGTTGGGCAGGCTGCAATAAGAATGGACTTTGGAGGCAGCAGAACTGGGTTTGAACTCTGTTTCTGCAACTGACTAGGCCTGTGACCCCAAACAACCCACTTACACACCTTAAGATTTACTGTTTGCAAATAAGAAAAATAGCCATATTGAAGGATTGTTTGGGTCTTAAACAGTGATAATAATTACACAGAACTGCCTAGCACCAAATATTTACTCAGCATTCATTTCCCACCTCCCTAACTGACTCCCTCCTTTCCTCTCTTCCCGGAAAAGACAGCTCATGCAGATAAAATTTATCAACAAGTTTGGAAACATATAGGCAAACATACCTATGACTTCCTTTGGATTGAGTAAAAGATTTAGGTGGCTTTTAATCAGAAATAAATGGCCTCCACCAATAAGAACACTTAAACTTCCAGGGCACTAGGTAGAGGTCTGGAATTGGCAGATCCCTCTGTGCTGTGTTTTTGCAATAATAATATGAAAGAAATAGTTGTTAATTGATCTGGTTAAAATGCAAAATGCGCTGCAGTGAATAGACTGGCAGCAAATTAATTCACTCAACAGATGCACCCTGTGTACCTCTAAGGGCAGGTACTGAGCCAAGCGTGGGGACCCCCAAGATGATTAAGAGCCAGTGACTTAAATAATAGTAATAAATATAGACCCAGTGACTGTCCACAGGAAGATGCCACTATATGGAGAGAGGCTGACACACATGATATCATGTGGTACGTCCTGTAATAGCAGTGTGCTCTGGGTACAAATGCTATGCCTGGAGACCTAGTTAGAGACACAGAGTAGGCTGTATTTTTCCTGGGCAAAAACACCTTTCCTCCCTCTACGGACTGACTTAGAGACTGTCTAAGTGCCAAATAATTGGTGTCCAAAATAGATGTGAATTGAAAGGCAGGAGAGAAGACTGCAGGCTTGAAGGGGCGGGAGGACATAAGGTGTGTTAAGCTCTTTGTAAACTGTAAAGTGGGCTATAAACATAAGGTCCATTGTAGGTCAAAGGTTGCTGACATTTAGTAATCGAAAGAAGCCCTAAACTACTGAACTGGACTTTTTTTTTTTTTTTTTTTTTGCGGTACACAGGCCTCTCACTGGTGTGGCCTCTCCCGTTGCGGAGCACAGGCTCCGGATGCGCAGGCTCAGC